TCTTTTTTTGTGGCTCTTTGTAGCATTTAGAATTTACATGCGGCTCTTTTCGGCCTCGGCCTTGCCCACCCCTGTTCTATACCGAAAAAAATATACCCCTATTTTCTTATCTGAAATCAAAAAAATATTTAGAGGTCGCTCAAAGCGCCCAAAGTTTTCCATATTCTACTACATATTTGTGGAAGTATGTATGTATGTAAATATGTATGTAAGTGCCACATCACGATCCAGAAAATATATATAATATTCTATCATTCTTGAGACGATGCTAATGAAAAAAATGAGGCAAAAGCATTTTGGTTTTGTTTTTGTGTAGCAAAACTGTAATCAGAGGATGTAAGAAATGTCAACGAAAACACTAACAGCCGGTGTGAACAGCCTTCAGCCCACAATCCCAAAACACGTTTTCAAAGTGTTTTCGTTGTCGGTCAGAACATGGTATAACATATGTATCAAGATATAGGCGCGTATTCATAGTCCAGCAACTAAGTCGAAACTAACAAAGTTGCAACTTAAATTTAAGTACCAACTTAAAATTTACCTCTATTCATAGTCGTATTTCAGACTTCTACCAAAGAAAGTAGATAACAAGAAGGGACAACTCGTTATAATTGTGGCGAAAGTGCGAAACAGGGGCGTGCCTTCTCTTTTCATCCAATCAAAAAACGCACTAGGGCAAAAGAAGGCATCCCCTGTTGCGCACTTTCGCTACAATTATAACGAGTTGTCCCTTCTTGTTATCTACGTTCTTTGCTTCTACTAAGTAGTTTCGACTTAGTTTACGATATAGCAAAACGAGTGTGAAAATGTATCGATTTTTCTTTACGATATTTTGGAAAAATTACACTTTTATTAAATAATATCAAGTTTGATCATCCGTTTATGTAATTTTTATTTTCATTGCATGATTATGCAAAAGAATAAGGTATCATTTTCTTGTTAATTGTGTGAAATAGCCAGAACAACCGCAGTGATTTGAAGTCGATGTTTATCGAAAGCATGCTGTGAAACATACAAATAGTAGATATCTAAATGTTATGCACAAATTTACTTTAAAAGAACTAGCGTGAAACTGACTTATTATTTGAAAATTTATCTAAATTATTCCAATTATAAAATTGTGATGTAGCTTTATTCGAATTGTAATACGCATCTTCCGATTAAAATGGATCGATCTTTGTAAATTTTAATTGGAGATTATTCAATATAATCAAAATCACTCTCTACCAACTTAATTTTTACATATTTCGTCTGTTTTCCCTTAATTTGATAAAATACTTCTTCCTAGTTACGACTTAGTTGCAGCTGCAGCCGAAACTAAATTTTAAGTTGGTACTTAGCCAGAAAAGTCGAAACTAAGGCGACTATGAATAGCTTTAGTTATGACTTAGAATAGTTTCGACTTAGTTGAGTACTAAATATGATTATGAATATGCGCTATAAACTTTATCCTGTGGAGTAGTAAAAGAAAATTGAGACGTTTCAACATGTCCAAAAAATCGAGTTCTCAATATTGTTGAATACTCTAGGAAAGTATCGATATTAGCAAAGAACGTAAGCGCGTTTCTTTGATATTAGGCCTTGGTAACGGCGCAAATTTTTTGGCGCTGACACACTAACTCTAGTTCCACTGCCGGAATCAGAACAGCGCTTCTTTAGGCTAAAGCGCATTTCATTTTGCATATTTCTGCACCACGACAAATTTATATATATGGTGATACCGTTGCTGCACATTTTATAATTGACATTTCACTTTGTGCGCTCTTTGCTGGTTCTTTGAGGCTCCCGGTGTCATCAGTGGTTCGGTATTGCTGGCGCCATTGTGTGAAAATCGGTATCAGCGTCCGTAACTCACCTCTCGGTATCAGCAAAATGGCGCAGCGCCGGACTGTGTTATCCACGTCTAATCGATATTCCGTACTGGATAGTCGTAGTGTTCCATCTTTATATGTCTTGAATTGAATTATATTTGAGGACGATGTTCACATTATAAAATTTTATAAAACCAAGATTGGTTTTCAAAGAAAGTGGTTCGGATTAATTTTGCTAAGTTACATAAGGCGATCTTTAAACGGAGCATCTTCGTCGGGGCCCACGCAAGTCAAATGGATCCAATGTGAGAAATACAATATTGGAATATTGAAAAAACATTTTTAAATTACGTATCCATATATAATTACATAGCGTAAATGCCCCAGTATTTCAAGCTGCTACAGCTGCTGCTGCTGCAGCGGCGGCCTCAAAAAATTTCAATTCTAAAGAGAACTCTGAGGAATTTGTAGAGTCGGAAAATTCGGATGCTTGTCAGTGGACAATGGAAGAGAGCAGTCTCATAGATGGCGAGATTCAGCGTACGGCTAGATCCAATGAAGACACTGGTGAATACCCTCGCTTTGGTTGGGTAGATATCACTAAACCATTCTTTGAGGCATGCTCAGAGTTGAATTTAGGAGAATTGGCTCAAGACATGCTCTTCGGACTATTTGAAGCAATGTCCGCAATTGAAATGATGGACCCCAAAATGGATGTGGGAATGGGTTATAATAAACAAGATGCACCACCACATACCTTTGAATCTGCGGTAGCGGTAATATTATTTTGCTAAACAATTACTTCCATAGCTTAAATAATTTTAATACAAAGTAGGCAGGAGTTTTGAAACTAGATAATTTGACCAATGAAGAAATAATAGGCACCTTTGACGCACTCTTCGCATGTCTCGTTTCTTGGTTAGAGGGGAATTCTATGGACCAAGTATTGTTCACTTGTCTTTACTTGCATCAGCCAAGCAGTATCAAAGACAAAGCGCTTCGGACCTTCTGTCATGCTGTTCGAAATCTTATTGTTATCATAAAGAATATAATTATCATTAGCAGCGTAAATGAAGAAGAAGATTTTCAACTGTATGGAAATTCATCTCTGTTATCTGCGGAAGATTGCCAACCAGCAAGTGTAGCTTCTCAGCTAAAAGAAGCCGAAGATGACTTGGTACGACTGAGCAAGACTGAACATCAACCAGAATCCACAATGGCCATTGTGCATCGAATGCGCTTTATGCGACATTTTTATCAATCTATTTTCCAATTCGATTGTGTCATGGCAACTGCACCTATAGAATCTAATATGAATGAAATTTATAAAAACTTAAATGCTTCTCTCGAGTTAGTACCACAAATAAAACGCACCATTGAAAAAGGTATCCAACCTGCACCAAACTGTAAGTGTTTAATGGCGTTAAAAAATTATTGTTTTGAATGATTGTAAATAAGACAACTTTTATAACAGCTGACTCACCAAATCCAATAGGATTTTCGCCTCGAATACATGATCGCAGTCAACCACCAACTTTTCCGCGAAACGTAAAAATCCGTGACCGCCCAACTAGCTTGGTATTTCTTGAAGAACTGGTGCATAGATTAAAATTTGCGTGCAAAATAATTCGAATGCGAGATTACTACACCGCTCTGGTAACAATTTACTACCACCTAATAAGAAGAGGCGAAGACTAATTGAAAATAATAATTTTAACCCTGTAGAATTTCTTCATCGAATTCAGCAAAAAATCTGGACAATGCGTTCTCTCTCGCAGTGTACTTCAGGGTCTATTTATTTCTAATCGTCGACTTATTTTCGGAACTATTCCAATTAAGGATTACCTTTGGGATTCAGTTCGAGCTTTTAATTCTCCTCCAGTACTGAATCCAAAACACCCCCTGGGGTCAGATCAGAAGATACAAATGTATTTAGATACATTCTTTCGGTACTGCATTAGTTTGAACACATTTACGCAATTTATTCGCATTTGTGGTTTCAATCGAGCTCGGCAGCGCGATAAACTGGCACGTTTTATTGATAGTTTTGATAATATTCAGGTAGAAGCGGCACGCTTAGACTCACACTTAACTATTATGGCAAACGAAAAGGCAGCCGAAGGAAATGAACTTCACGCCACAGCACTCAAGCATAGCGCTCAGTTTGCCACCTGGGTATTGTATAACTGTTTTCGCGCAATGATGTTGTATTTGATGTCAGGCTTTGAATTAGAACTCTACTCGGTGCATGAGTTCCTTTATATTTATTGGTAAAATTACAAATAAACGCAATAATTCCGATTTAATCATTATTTTTTTAGGTATCCCTACGAATTGCTAATTGGCTTCATTGTGTCGGCTTTAACTCGAACTGAAAATAATCTTATAGTACAAGAAGAATATGCAGAGCACCAAAGCAAAATTCAAGGAAGTGGCAGCATGAAAAATCGTAAGCCAAAGCCAAAAAAGAATAAGAAACAACAGAAGCCTTATCGGCACGAGATTGTTTATTATCATGCCCTGTTAAGTATGTGTGGTGGATTCTATAAAGCCTTGGGAGCATTGACGAAAGACGGCCGCATACGGCAACCCATGCCAAAGTTTGACAACGAGGAGATACGTTTCAATCGAAGATTTGCACCTTTCGCCACGTTAACAAGTCCACCTCCGGTCTCTTATGCAGAATTCAAGAGTATAAGGGAGCATATGATGCGGCCGCCGTCGTCGGAAATATATGCAATTGCTGCCAAGCATTTTGACCAAGCACGTAATGTGTTGGAATCCATACAAAATCCAGAACAAGAGGTATTGTGTCTGTTCTATAGATTCTGCAGCTAGCCCTCAATAATTAAACATTTTGCTCTGTATTCTCATGTCAATGTTTACAGATCTTGGATATGCTTCACGTGGCCAAAGTAAATTATGTTGTGATGAATGTATTAGCAAAAGGTCATCAGAAGGACTCGAAGACTCAGCCAGATTTTGACTTCTCCAAACATCGTCACTTTCCTATTATAAAATTGAATTAAGATGCATATTATACCCTGTGATGAAATGTTATATAGTTGATGCAGTGCATCACTCCCACCAATCATTACATATATCTTAACAGACCGAAAATCGGTGTGGTATAACTTTATATCGTAGATTTCAAACCAAAATGATTCTAAATACACGGAAACCATGATGTACAAGTGATGTACGCATACATTGAAAACTTTACTTTTTATTTTCATTTAAAAAAAGGTCCTGTTTAACTATATATTCAAAAGCATAACCTTTTCCAATTGGTAGGGGGCAACTTTTTGAACAAGTATACACAGCCAATGTACCCCAGTCAAGGTGGTCATCCTTCAACAAATTAAGCATTTGTGGCATTATTTGAAACTCAAATTGGCGCTCACTGCCGCATATCTCACAATTTGGAATTTGAAGTTGTTCTGCGATTGATTGTTCCACATCAGCTATCCATAGCGGTTTACCTCCACGTTTATATCGCAAAATTTGGTCGGGATCTTTATTAACGACTTTTTTGAATTTCCGGAAAATTTTATCATCGACAGTGTCAGATTCACTTGCATACTTGTCCAATTCAAAGTCTGCCACATCTTTTAATGTGCCAGTTTTTCCAGCCGCAACTAAATTCTGATATTCTTCTAAACTTTTCTTTTCCAAGCTCTCATTATCTATATCGCTTTCCGTTTCTTCGCTTGGGTCATTGACTTCGACGGCGATTTCCCATTCTGGAAAGGTAACACAGGGTAGGAATATATCGGTATTTTTATTTTCGCCTTGATTCTCAGCCATGCAAACTTTTTTGTGATGGGGCCAGTGAGCACGTTGGTGTTTTGCAGAGCAGTAATTCACCATGCGACAACGGCCGCAAGATAAAGGTCCCAAACAGCCACACGCTATACACAATTTTTTAGAGGGATTTATTTCTGGCTGTTGAAAGGTATATGTAAATAGCTGTTTTGCTAAATTTTAAATATCAAAAATTACCAAAGGATCTCCCTCCTCCATAGGTGGCTTTTCAGAGTAAAATTTGTTTTTCCTAGGAAGTTGACTTCGATAAATAGTTAAATTTCTGGGAAGTAAGCATGCACGGTTAATTGTTAATAAAGAAACCAGGGCGCGAATCGTTACATACGATATCGTACTACTCGTCAAGTAAAAACACATTTTTCGGATTATGACACACGTGAAAGTTCACGTTGTCCCATTCAGCTTATATCGCCTGACGTATCACGTAATGTTCTTTCGTATCGTTTTCGATCCGTGAACGTATGTTACGATTCGAGCCCAAATAAAGACGTTATTGGTATCTTACTTTGCCGAGTTGCAGTCCTGGCAAAATGTCGACCGGCATACAAAAATATAAATGGTTCTATGAAAATTGTGTTCGTCTTCAAATGGTGCATAAATCTATNTATGTTACGATTCGAGCCCAGATAAAGACGTTATTGGTATCTTACTTTGCCGAGTTGCAGTCCTGGCAAAATGTCGACCGGCATACAAAAATATAAATGGTTCTATGAAAATTGTGTTCGTCTTCAAATGGTGCATAAATCTATGGAATATGTATATCTTAATGATAAAATCCTTTTATAAAAAAGAAATTCTTTTACCTGGCATAAAAACGTTTTGGGCTCCTGGCACGTAACACACAAAAGCTCTCTATTAGTCGGAAGTTGCTCCAGTTCCAACCACGCCGGCTTTCCTCCAACTTTGCTGGGAAAATACCGGTTTGTCAACCATTCCTTGCCGCGTTCTTCAGCAAACCCCAAATCCATATCGCCCATAGTTCTATTAAAATGCAAAAGGGCAAACAGACATTTTTTATCAATTACAATAATTAAAGCTGAAATTAGTCAAGAACGTAAATCTAGGGACACGAATTTCGTTACGATACGATACCATATCGATACTTTTGGCATTCGATACCGATATTTTCAACTCGATAGTTTTTAACGATATTTTTTGGAATCGAGTACCAGAACCCTAGTATCGTATCGAATGTCATAAACTCACATTCCAACACTGAGGGAAAAAAAATTTAGAATTAAAAAAACATGCTAAATTTAAAAAATACGCATATGAAAGAGCACCAACCCAACTCGTTTTAGATTTGAGTATATACGTTATAAATTATGCGGTTGTGAAGTGCACAGATGCTTTTTCGTAATTAAGAAGAAAAAAAAATTATTTTCATATTCCGTCTGATGGTAGTTGCGATCCCGTACGAGTCCGGACTAGTCAGAAATAGTCAGAATCAGTCAGGTTTTACTGGAAATCGATCCCGTACTCGGTTCTCTGACTATTGAGAGGACAAAAAAGAGAGTAAATACGGTTCTCTCTCTGTCAGAAGTTACCAGTTTTAGTCCGAGAATTTTTTGCTGGTAAATGTGTCAAACGATCAGCTGTAGTGTGTTTGGCAGCCAAATTGTAAACAAAAGAAAAGTACACTCTGCTAATTCATGTTGAAAAGTATTTAATTGTTTAAGTGGATTCTAATGAATTTGAAAGTATATTTGGTTATTTACATGTGTGACCTGAGTGTGTTTACATACAAAATAAGCAAAATTTTACACCCAAAATTTGGAGGTTATGTTGAAGTTGACAGAAGTTACCATTTTTTACTAGAAAGCGACATGAAGCAAAAATACAAGGTCACCTAATCAAAGAAGCAAGAAAAAAGTATATTTCTGAGTGTTTTTGACATCTGCCTAAGAATGAAAACAAACAAAGAAAACGAAAAAGGCGCGGTGATTGAGTGCGATTAAATTGGTATTTATTATAAAATATACAAAGTGAAACTTGATGACAATTAGCAAAAAAAGTTCATAAAATATGGTTTTCATGATTGAAAGTGTTTTACAATCCCATATCATTACCACGGGTCGATTTTTCAATGCCAACGTTCTGGCCACAAACGTGCACCCACTTTTCACGCAAATTTACGCCTTTTGGCAAACCAAACATACGCACAAACTTGTTCCGATCACACAGCACTTTATTTTATATCATAAATATGTAATAAACCAAAATTTATAATTAAAATCGCTGCAGAAAACACATTCAATCGCTAAAAAATCACTACGAAGAGGTAGAAGACGGTGTAAACAAAACCGAAAAACGTCAAAAACGCTACGAAAACTTTTTTCTGAAAATCGATTACAAATACAACGATGGCTGATTAGGTGATCTGTAGTCGTTGGTTCATGCTAGAACCCTGCAAAAATCGTTGGACCATGTAGTCTATTTGTGGTATATTGGAGTACTTACAAAAGTGCTCCTCTGTCATGCTGTAGCGGACCAACACGTGTCTCTGCACCAGCTTATTCCCTGCAAAAATCGCGACTACCTCCATGCATGCATGTAAAGAGTACTCCCGAAGGTCCAGGAGTACTCTAAAATTAACCACAATTCATATAAAAAATATGGTCCAATTAACATTGCGATGTCCTAGGGCAGGACCATGTACTCCATCTCTGCATTACATCAGAGTAGCACAAAACTATCTCCCAACATACTCCAATGACATTATCGTTATATTTTTTCGTTTGTACACGCTTTTGTTCTTCACTTCGCAGATGCTTTTTTTGAAATTAATAAAAACCAAGAAACAAAAATTAAAAATTACATGTTGCCTCTGACGACATTCGAACCCGAACATGCTGGGAGCTAAGAACTAACAGCTAGCATCTCTACACGTTCAGCTACAGCCTAGACATGCAAATGTACTTTCAATGCTTAACTTCAATCACATGTCGTTAAAACACGAGCAGTGATCGGGTAACAATAAGCTGGTGCAGAGACACGAGTTGGTCCGCTACAAGCATGACAGAGGAGCACTTTTGTAAGTACTCCAATATACCACAAATAGACTACATGGTCCAACGATTTTTGCAAAAGAAATCTCAATCGGCGATCACTGAAACGCAGCTAGCAACTGTATACTCGAAAAAGCAATGTTACCACTTTTTCTCTTTAAACCATGTTCGAATCGTGGAAATTTTGGAAGATCACAGGGTTGCTTTGGCATTTAGATTCTTACGCGTAATGCAGCGTTTTTGCTGCATTTAAAATGCAACATTTAGCACTTTCGAACATATGTTTTCGAAGAGCGTTCATGCTATAGCATTTAGCAAATGTACATTTACGCGAGTTCGAAATCGAATGCTTTTGACAAACAGCCGTGTTCCAGTCTCTTATTTAGATGCGTATATATTACGATCAATTCTCACGCAGAAGATAATGTGCAAAAACCCTACTGGAAAGGAAAAAATAAATTTTAAACCAAAAATTCAATACAAAAACTTGAATTGTTTTAACCATAACCGAACATTTGTTTGTGTATATATTCATTTGTCGGTGCTGTCAATTAAAATTTCCTCACTTAATTAGGAAACAAACCAAACAGAGTTGATCACAAATTGATCCAGATTTCTATCAGCATCAAATCGATGTTGAATTTGCTTAACTTTACTTTATCCAAATATGTAATGCAAAATAAAAGAAATCTGGATCGGCGATCACTGAAACGCAGCTAGCAACTGTATACTCGAAAAAGCAATGTGGCCACCTTTTCTCTTTAAACCATGTTCGAATCGTGGAAATTTTGGAAGATCACAGGGTTGCTTTTAGCATTTAGATTCTTAATGCAAAAATGGAGTTGCATTTAGGTGACGAATTTTGTATGGATAAATGTACATTTAGAGTAGCATTTAGAGCTAAATGCGCTAAATGTGCTTTTACGCGTAAGCAAAAACAGCCTATAAAAGAACATTTAGCGCATATAGCTCTAAATGCTACTCTAAATGTACATTTATCCATACAAAATTCGTCACCTAAATGCAACTAAATGCAACTACATTTTTGCATTAAGAATCTAAATGCTAAAAGCAACCCTGTGATCTTCCAAAATTTCCACGATTCGAACATGGTTTAATGAGAAAAAGTGGCAACATTGCATTTTCGAGTATACAGTGGCTATTTCCAGTGGAGATTTCAATTATTATTTTACATTATTTGGATAAAGAAAAGTTAAGAAAATTCAATATCGATGTGATGCTGATAGAAATCTGGATCAATTTGTGATCAATTCTGTTTGTTTTGTTTCCTAATTAAGTGAGGAAATTTTAATTGACAGCACCGACAAATGAATAAAACAAAAACAAATGGTCGGTCATGGTTAAAACAATTCAAATTTTTGTATTGAAGTTTTGGTTTAAAATTTATTTTTTCCTTTTCAGTAGGG